GCAGTGACTCATACTCCCAGATGCTTGGGAGACAGAGATAAAAGACAGAGGTGTGAGGCAGCCCAGCCGCCCCCCCCCCCGCAAAAGTGTTCTTAAGACTCCATCATCTCAACCACTAAAAGACCTGAGGCATGATGGTGCACACCTGTCATAGCAGATGGATGGGAAGTATGGATAGGACTGTGGTCCTGGCTAGCCCAGGAATAATTTGAGACTATTCAAAAAACAAGTAGCATAAAAAGAGCATAGCTTAAACAGTACACTGCATGCCCAGCAAGTAAGTTTAGACCCCAGTAGTCTCCCTCAACTCCCAAATGTAGTGAGCTGTGGTGGTGCACATCTGTCCCTGCACTTGTAGGCTGGGATAGGAAGATCAAAAGCTGGAAGCCATTTGGGCTACACAGTGAGACCCTATCTCTAACAAAACAAACAAATACAAAAGCAGAAGGACATGCCTTCCCCTCAACCAGTCTCCAGAAGGTGTGTCCACCACTACTGATCACCCAATCCCCACTTCTCTCTAAATAAGCCCAATTCAACACATTACTACCCTGTCAGAGGAGGAAATGGTCACTGACACAAATAGAACTTTAGAGTTTGCTGGGAAAAATCTGCTTGATTCTTTTTTTTGGGGGGGGTCCAGTCGTGGGGCCTGAACTCTGGGCCTGGGCGCTGTCCCTCAGCTCTTCAGCTCAAGGCTAGTGCTCTACCACTTGAGCCACAGCGCCATTCCGGCTTTTTTCTTTTTGCTTATGTGGTGCTGAGGAATCGAGCCCAGGGCCTCATGCATGCAAGGAAAGCGCTCTACCACTGAGCCACCTTCCCAGCCCTCTGCTTGATTCTTAAAGGCTATTTCTAACTTTTGGGGCTGGTGCCTGTTCTGCATCCATGGAGAAATGTATAAGTTACATCCTAGAAGGATGAAGGAAACACAACCACATCCGAGGGTTGGCAATTTTTTTTAAATTTTAATTTTAATTTTTTGTGAACATACTGTACAGAGGGGTTACAATTACATGGGCAAGATAATGAGTACATTTCTAATCAAGCATTGCAGCCTCCTCCTTTGTTTTCCCTTCACATCCCTTCCCAGCCTCCCCCGGCTCCCCTCTCAATCCCCCCCGCCCCGCTCCTCCCCTCCTCCCCCTCCCACCCTCACACCAAAGTTGTAAAGTTCGTTTTTGACATGACAACTTGTACTTCCCGAGGGTTGGCAATTTAAGACAGGGTACTACTCTCCTAATAAGATGGAATTTCATTTAGTTCCTTAAAAATGTTTTAAACCCTTAGTCTAAATTACTCTCTCAAAAAAGGGACAATGCTTCCAAGATCTGGAAAGTAACATTCTATTCGTATCCCTGGGATTTGGTAATTTCTACCATGTGAAATGATTCACAGATGATTTAGAATGGGTGTAAAATTAATACATTAATGATAATTCATGCAAAGTATGTAGCAAGGAATCAGTGTTCGTTGTTTGGAAATACAAGATCAAGAGAGTGCTTCTTTTATTGGAAACCGATCAGAAAACAGCAATTCCACTTTAAAATTGAGTTGTTACAATTAGCAGGTTACTGAAAAAATATTTTATAAGTGTCAAGGCTAACTTTTTCCATATAGCCAAGTGCTACAAAAATCTATCACAAAATTAAAATAATGAAGAATTTTGTCCATATAGGTAGAATCAATATAATCATATCATGTCCAGGCAACAATGCAATAACTTAATCCCAAAATCCTCACAAAAATCACAACATCCACTTAGAAGTTTTGTAGGTTGTATGAGGTAGAGGCACAGTTTGCTTCTGAAATGTAATCATTCTGTAAAAAAACCTTTTATGAGCTGAGTACTGGTGCCTGCAATCCTAACAACTCAGGTGGCTGAGATCTGAGAATCACAGTTCGAAAGCCAGACTGAGTAAGAAAGTCCATGAGACTTATCTCCAATTAACCACCAAAGAGCCAGAAGTAGAGCCATGCCCCAACTGGTAGAGGATCAGCCTTGAGAGAAAAAGCTGAGGGATGTGCTTAGATCCAGAGCTCAAGCCTGAGTACTGGCACAAAACAAATCAAAACAAAAACCAAAGACCTGCAAAACAACCCTATTATGTACTTCTTAAAGAACGAGTCATTTGAAGAAAACTTTGAACTTAACAGCATGAGATACATCTCTGTAGCTCAGCCACAAAAGTTCCCCTCTTAACAGGATATACCAAATGTTTAACACATTAATTATCATCCTTCATCAAGCATAAAACAAACAGTCAGGAAATACAGCTGCAGTGGCACAATTACCAACACTCAGAATACACCCTGAAGCAAAGAAAACAAATGGCTTGCTTTTCATTAACAGAGCTTGGCAACTCTCTCCAAAGACAATGTTTTCTTTCCAGTCAGAGTCCCAAAAGGCATTTAAGGGGCTATTTGCTTACGTAAACCCAGAGAACAAATTAATCCTGAAAACATTTATTTAAATTTCAAAATATCCATGATTGTAGACAGTGCCATCCCCAAATTACATGTATTAAAAGAAAGCTTAATAAAATAAAAATCATATGAATATAGGATATGTATTTTTTAAAAGAATGTTGGTATAAGAGGACAAGGAATTCAAATATCCTCATTCTTGACCATGATATATAAGGCATTCATATTTTTATTTGCATGTTTGGTGGCAGACAATTTGATATGCAAGTACCTCCATTTATAAAACAAATAGTGACTTGTGTATAATAGGGTTTGATTATGTCATCTTGGAGTCTATATAAAATAATTAATTTTCTGCTTGAAAATACTAGTGTGTCATACTGAAAACCTAGATAAATAGCTATAGTGTATTTGATGCTTAATAGATGCTTAATATTACTGTAATACCATTATACATTAACAGATACATGACTCCTACTAAGATTATAAATAAAGTATGCGCTATTGTTTTAACTATAATTTAAAGAAGGCTCTGGGGATATAAAAGGTAATAGTGAGTCATCTGCTCAAAGTAATTGCAATTATATCCTGAGCCATGGCTGTCAAACTTTCACTCAATTCACTGCCCAGAAATCCTCTCACATAATCAGCTTGATCCTCTCTGCAGGGTAAAATAGCATGGCAAAAATTAAGGAGCCATATTTTCCTCAGCGCAGGAGGCCAGGGACACACATATGGGTTCTTCCATGCTTGTGGCACAACTTCAATGTCATGAATTTATGTTGTACTTTATATGCAATAAACGCATGAAGTTCTTGTGAACTGTTCTTAGGGTAGGTGCGATTTCATCTTTCACCCAGACAACTTGTGTTACGTAGAACTGTCCTTCAGAAGACAGCAACCTTCGTTACAAGATACAAGATAAAATGACTAGAATATGCCTTATGAAAGGTCAGTCTACAGTCTGCTCAGGGTGGGAAAATAATTGTGAACAGCAAGTTAGGATTTTATCCACTCTCCCTTGGCCAGGATGGCAACTTCGGAAGGTGTTGAAAGCAGCAGATCACAGGGAAGAAATGCAGCCCCTACCAATAATAACACTTTGCTTGAGTGACGAAAGCTGCTGACTAATAGTGTGCAGAATGTTTGGACTGGATAAAGGACTAATAAGAAATAAAAGGTCCTTCCTCTTAAGGGCTTACAATTGATAGAGTATGTATTTGCAACGCAGCATGTCAGTGAGCACCAATGCGTGGGCAAGGCGGGATTAGCAAGAATAAGTTCGTGGCCAGCTGTCCTGGGTCAGGTGCATCCCAGGACAGGTGAATTCTCTTGGATTCCTCTGGGACCTTCATTTAAGGCAAGGTTTATAAAGATTAGTTCTTTTGTAGTTGCAGGGACATAAATGCCTCAAAATCAAAGAAGCGTTTTAAGGCAAAAAAAGTTCTCTAATGTTTTGATGTATTGTTGTACAAAACACTTACACATTTCCAGAAAAATAAGGCAATTTCAAAGTAAACTTCAGCTAGTTTTTGCTTGATATTTTTCCTTCAAAGATACGACCTGGTTACAAAGTATCCTATTGTTCTCTTGCCATTCTAAGAAGTCTTCTTGGAACCCCCAAACCTGTTCCTTATTGATATGCTTTCTTATCCAATAACCACTAAAGAGAAATGATTCCAATCTGGTTTCAATATTGAGAATAAGACAATGTGCCCATCCATATTCTTTATGAGTGGTTAAGTCCTTGAGTGTCATGTTGTTTTTTCTGTGGGAAAATATTACTGTAGAGTAATGGGAAAAAATCCAACTATATATTGGATGGTATCTTCAGAATAACATATTTTTCAGAAGAGAGGAAAAGTATTTCTTAATTGACTATTTAAAAAATAGGAATGGTGGTATAGTCAATGGTGCCTGGCATGCATGAGGCCCCGATGCCATCTCTAATAACACCAAAACAAGAAAACTAAAAGAAACTGACTCTATGATAGTTGGACAGTCTTTACTATGGTAGTCAAGCAAGTACTTTAAGTGAGCAAGACCAATAACTAAGGTTTGAGGTCACCAGAGATCCACCTGCCTGTAATATGTGCACTAAGGTTCAACGTTTGTAGAATGTAGTGGATTATTATGGCATTTGATAGGGATGCAGTGTAAAAGACTCTGCCAAGGAGCATGATTCTGCATGCGTGTGTGTGTGTGTGTGTGTGTGCACGCACATGTGTGCGCACGCACGCACCAATACTAGGGGGCTTGAATTTAGTGCCTGGGCGCTGTCTCTTAGCTTTTTCCCTCAAGGCTAGTGCTCTATCACTTGAGCCACTGCTCCACTTCTGGATTTTTGGTGGTTATTGGATAAGAGTTTCACATACTTCTCTTCCTAGGCTGGTTTCAAACTGTAATCCTCAGATCTCAGCTTCCTAAGTAACTAGGATTATAGACGTAAGCGACTGACCTGTTAGAACTTGGGGGTCTTGAAATAATAAAGTTCATTGTAACAGACATTGCTTATACTTTAATAGATCTTGACTTTTTATAAAGTGTTTTAATGGCCACTCCAGCCTTCATACCTTCAGGGTGGTGAACTCATAAGGTTGATAACCTCTGAAGCTCTCATGGACGGCTGCCATAGTGTGTGAAGTTTTCTCCCAGAAATGAAGCAGAGTGGTCTATAAAGAGAGACAGGAAATGTACTGATGTTTTAAATGCCTAGAGCTAGTTGTGGGCCCTGTAGAAGTATGCTTCTCTCTAGCTTTCATGGTCCTCTAAAATATAATTTGGACTCATTTCTGCACCCTTTGTTCCCCATGTACTCTGCCCTATGTGCACCTTGTATTTCAGCCAAACTGAAGGCCTCCCACGGCACAGTCTGCTCCTACCACCTGGAACTCTCTCTTCTCCATTTTCTTTGTCTCATCTAATCCGTCCTCCAAAATCCAGTGCTAATCATTAATCTAGCCTTGTGATCATTCAACTGAGTTGATTTCTCCCTCTTCAAACACTAATGGCTTTCTGAGAACTTTATTTCACTTGGTGTACTCTATTCTGTCCTAGAGGTTTGGGAAATACAGTCTGACCTTCCTGTGTCCTACTTCCTAAATGTTAAGTGTTCTGAAAACAAGGAATCTGGTTGTGTTAATTTTTATATCCCCCACAACACCCAGTACTTGACATCCCACACTCAAGTGGAGTTCAATAGCATTATTGATGGACACAAATGTCATGCTGAAGGAACTCAGAGCCTCTCAGGGGAGACAAAATCAAGTGCACTGAATAATGACCCTCAAGAAGGAAAGTATGACATGGGATGTAGGCAACAATGCTGGGGCTGGGAAGGTGGCTCAGTGGTAGAGCGCTTGCCTTGCATGCATGAGGCCCTGGGTTTGATTCCCCAGCACATAAGCAAAAAGGAAAAAAGCTAGAAGTGGCGCTATGGCTCAAGTGGTAGAGTGCTAGCCTAGAGCTGAAGAGCTGAGGGACAGCGCGCAGGCCCAGAGTTCAGGCCCAGGACCGGACCCAAACAAACAAACAAACAAAACAATGCTGATGGAGTTGAGGGAGGCCTTTGGTTTGGCTGAAATACAAGGTGCACATAGTGCAGAGTACATGGGGAACCAAGGGTGAAGAAATGAGTATAAATAATATTTAAGAGGACCATGAAAGTGAGGGAGTTAGAGAGAGAGGTATATGACATTTGGACTGGTATATTAAAAAGAGCAGAATTTGGAAAGGCACAGATAAAGGGGAATAGGCACTCCAAACTGAAGGAACCCCCAAAGTTAATGCAGAGAAGTGGTAAATTCCACTGTATACAAGGGAAGGGCTACTACTGAGCTCAGTTTGATTAAACCACAGAACCTAGAAGCCAGAAATGGGACAAGTAAATTATGAGAAAGACATTCAGAACTTCATAACCTTATGTTCAGTGCAAATGTCAGTTTTATATTATCTAAGCCTCATTCCATTCTTTGATCATTGAAAACAAATAGCACTTTGTTACCTGATATGTTGCTAGCATGTGAGACAAGAGATTGCATCTGCTGGCTCCTAGAAGATCCACTTTTTGACAGACATCCATCTTTAATTTGTCAAAATTTTTTTTTGCAAGGCGTACTTGTGTCTGTACCTAGGAAAATAAAATGGAATCTCTGAGCCACTCAAACTAGTTAAAATATGTAGGTGAAAAAAAAGGCCTCTAATAGAAAGTCTTTTACATAAAGAAAAAAAAACACTTGGAAAATTCTAGACAAATAAAAAGATCCAACAACATCCATTTGTAACTTTGTGAAGACCTAGATGAGAGTATAGGAAAATTATCATTTTATAGTAGATATACCATTCTAGTTATATTTTTCTTAGACAAATGTTAAAATCAAAGGAAGGAGAAATCCTAATTATGGAAGCTAATTTGGAAGCTGATTTCTCATACATTTTTTAACTCAACTTTCCTAATGTTAACATCCTTTATAACATTTGTTAAAATGAGGAAATAATCACTGACACATCTTATATACTAATCAATATTCTTTATTGGCTTTTACCTGTTTTCCACGAAGGCCCTTCTGTTCCAGGAGCAAACCTAAGATTCATCTCAGGCCGTTTCATAGCCTAAAACACTACCTCCCAAAAACTTTTCCATTTTTCTTCCTGATATGTATGCCAGCAATTCCCCATCCATCCCTAAACCGACTAGTAATTCATAGAAGGAAGGGAGGCCAGAAAAAGACTCAGAAATATTGATTCTATATATTATTTCATAATAAAAATAGCAAGTTTGAAAATCTAATACAGCTACTTTGAAAATTATGAAGTCAAAATTCCCTCCTTCTTTAATCCAGGGCCACCCAAATATATTCAGGCCACTTCTTTTTGTTTTTTAAAAATTTTATTTCATTGTTAAGATGTACAGAGGGGTTACAGTTACATGAGTAAGGCAATGACTACATTACTTGTTGATCATTGTTTCCCCTTCCCTTCCTTGCTGTTGTCCCACTATCCCTTCCCTCACCTACCGCCCACACTCCTCCACACCCCACCCACCCCACTGCCTGAAGTGGGGTATCCTTTGGGTATCCTGTGGGTATCCTTTGTCCTTGTTTCAGAGTTTTGTTATTCCCCTTGCCCTCCCCAGATTAGACAAATGTATATACAAGATACAGGGTACCAAAATCAAGTACCGTGACTACAGGGGATATACCATAAGGGGAAGAACAAAACAAAAAAAATCACATAGCACATTTAAAACAATAGCAACAAAGACAGAGTCTTTTGAGGAACCTCCATACTGCTTTCCAGAGTGGTTGAACAAGTTTACACTACTACCAACATTGTAGTAGGATTCCCTTTTTGGGCAACTTATTTTCAAATCACTTTATTGAGGTAATAATTAACAGGTAAAAAGCTGTATATATTTAATGTATTCAACTTGATGAGTTAGAATATTAACTTATCTCAGATAATTCATGAAGCTGTAGTTAATAAATGGGAAACTGAATGCAAGTAATAACTGACTCAGTAATGATCTTCTATCATAATCTTTTATCATAAGATTCCAGATGTTTTTGAAAATGTGTATGTTTGATTTTTAGTTTTATGTTTTTGGTGTTGGGGATAGAACCTAGGTGCACATGAATGGCAGGCAAATACTCTATTTCTGAGCTCCACCCTAGCCTGATAGTCTATTTTGTTCACCATTTTATCACTTGTCAACCTTATATAAAGCAGATATTTAAAACATACTTGCTGGATGAAGATCTTTCTAGGGCCATTTCAAGAAATCCATATTTAAGTATAACCTTTAAAAATTTTCTAAATAAAAGGATTTATTGATTAAAGTAGTTTGGGAATTAATGTTTTATTTTTTTTCCTGAAAATGAACCTGTAGATAAATAATTTACTATTGATATGAACACATTCACAGCTTATAATATTATGGGGGTTATATAATAATAGAAATAATAATAAGTTTACTGACTGACACAATGACTTATTAACTATCAGCATTATTCTATCCTACTGCTCTGATGCTTTCCCTCACAGAAAGAGCCCGAGTCTTCCTAAGGACCAGGGCTCACTGTTTCAGTCATGGCTGACCCTCAAAGTCACCCTGACTGATCCCAAAGCTATGCTACTCTGTTTCCCAAGGAAGTTACACTATTCCCTGATAAATCAACAAGTTCAAAACCACAATTCACTCAGAAACATACATCCTCCTTGTAGGACTTTATGGAAATGAGAAATAATGAAACTCAATTTAACACTGGTTTGGTAGAAGGAATATCCTGTATGAAAAGATGCCATAGGCACAGCATCTAGAGTTATCGATATAAATAAGGTCCTAAGAATTCCCCTCTAGCCTCTGTCTGTGGAGCTGGGAAGAGCAGAGAACAGCAATCATAAACTCTTCACAGGCTGATCATACCTTGAGCTAAAATAATCCTGCAGTACAATCAACTCCCACTAAAGAACTTGAGATATCATTTCAGCTCTTGGAAGCTCTGTCTATAAAACCATTTATATGAATGAAGTATCAGGGAGGGAGACAGCAGAGGGAGTGCCCGGATTCTGGAAAGGAGAAGTGGGAATCTGGTGAAGAGGGGAAGAATGTTCTGCAGACATCCTCCCACCACACCTCCCTCGGCCCTGTGGTCACCGGTTAGTTGAGCCAGAAAGGCCTCACTAGTTGGGTACCTGAAAAGCACCTGTCCTCAGCCCTTTCTCTGAGAGGAAAGGAAAGGCATGTGGGGAGTGAGCTTCACCTGCACATTTGTTTTTTTTAATAAGTTTTTTTATTGTGAAAATACTGTAAGAGGGGTTACAGTTACATGAGCAAGGCAATGAGTACCTTTCTTATCAAGCATTGTTGGCTCCTCCTGTTTTTCCCCTACCATCCTTTACAGAGTACCTATTATATCTAGGCCAATGCTAGGCATGGCATGGAGTGTCTTTAGAAGAATAAGAAATATGACAGGTGGTCAACAAATAGTTAAGAATGAATGTACATTGACATCAGGACCTAACTTTAAGGAGGACTGTCAAAAGTCAGCATCTGGCTTACAGCACAATGAGGAAAATGTAACAACAGAACAGAGAGTGAGGACCAGAGGGAATAATTAGGACTGGAGACGGAGTGGGAGGGTCTGGATGATGACATTAAAGCCTCAACTAACAGCCTTCTTTTGTTACCATACTTTGCCTTATAATTCTGTAGCGTCCTCCTACTCTGATTCTAAGTGTGGCCATGTGGTTTAGCTATGTCCAATGGGAGGCAAACAAATATGATACAACTGGAAGTTTATGTGCTAGTGTGTTTCTACTTTTTCTCTGGAGTTCCTGAGTTGGTCATAAGAATATGCCCAGGCTGGTCAGCTGGATGTGTGTAGATATGAGAAGACCTGGATCTAAGGGAGCTCGGCCATTAACAGAGCTCCTCCCTGCCCCCCCTAAGCTGTCCGACAACACACATGTGCCCAGATAGCAGCCCTGTTAACCATAGACTTGTGAACAGTAAAGAGATGCTTATTGTTTTATGCCTTTTTATGTTAATGTTATTCATTTCATGTTACTATGACCATGAGTAAGTGATATAAGCAGTGATTGAAGAGACCATGAAGGCTCTGAAAAGAGGCAATATCGAAGAGGGGTCTTAAAGTATGGCTGAGAGTTACAAAGCAAATAGAAGATGGGTATCCTACTACACAGTTCTATGTTCTCATTATTGGTGAAGTAATTTTTTGCAGAAGTATGAATTTCAGTCTTCCTCATACACTGAAATAACCAGTTGATATCCTGATCTTCTAGGAGACAATTTATTTCCTTTGCTGATAACATAAGATTCGTGAATGAATGCAGTTTGATACAAGCCCTGATTAAATTTTGCTTGAAGTTTGAAAAGGTAATTTTAGAAATCTTAGAAGACAACTTTAACAACTTGACACAGTGGATTCTGAAAGGCCATATGTTTTGTGTGTCAACAATGATTATTAAAATACTTAATGCACTGCTGAGTCTCCAAATGCTGAGCTCTCTCCCTGCCAAACAAGGAAGATGGTGTCCTGTTGGGCATGTTGAATACAGTAAAATTCATTTAATATTTTGTGCTCCATGCTCGTTCTATAAAACACAGTTCCAGCCTGCAGCCTGAGGACAAGACAACAAGGGCACAGCTGAGCTCAGGCCACCATCAAGAGTATAATTTCCTAGGCCTCCAGATGGACTTAAGTGAAAAATGTTTTGATTATTATTCCTCTCAATCCCAGATAAATTATATTCAATTACACAAACATCTCGAGAAGCTCTTGTGGTTTCAAGGCTCTTGAATTTTTTTTCATTCAAATAAATGTACCCTTTGTTCATTTCTTCATTTTACTTCAGTTACCTCACCTTTCTCTTTTTATTCCCCAAGCTCTAGGAAATGACTGCGCATATTCAACTCTCTTTAGTCTGGGTCTTGCCTTCCCCAGGCCACAAAAATTCCATTTACTAGAGAAAGCAGTAATGTCTCAATTGCCAAGACTACAGGCTATTTCTCTGTCCTTGTTCCTCCTAACCTGAAATTCTACCTCTTACCCCCAACTTGAACTATTAGGGCAAAGCCAAAGCTATTCATCTTCTTAATTCAACCTGGCTTCCCCATCCAATGGGAAAAGTCTTCATATTACTCTACAACCAAATAATCTGAGAGTGAGTTCTACATTTTTTCCTAAGTATTTTATTTCCTTTTTGAACAAAATAAAGCAAAAACAATTCTTCTATTTTTAGATCTTCTTAGAGGAGATAGCTTGATTCCTCCACTCATTCATTAGGCAAATATTCACTGAGTCTTTTGTCTATGCTGATAGCATAAGCACAATTGGAGATGGCTTTTGCCCTCACAGATTAGACAGTCCAGCGGGGACTTTCATATTGAATGAGACGCTCAGAAGAAAAGCTATACAGTCTGACAAGAATGACTGACCAAGAATTGACCAAAAGCTGTCCAAGTATATAGTGCCCAACCAACATTTTCAAGGACTGGGCAGGATTAATTAAATATGCATGCAAAGACTAGTTCAGCATGGGGAGGAGCATGTGCAAAGGCTCTGGGAGAGAGGATAACAGGCACAGAGCTGACAGGGGAAAGAGGGT